ATTCGTTAAAACTACCAAACAGTTGTTTTTTTATTTTTTGGTAAACGAGTTAGCACAAAGGATCACATATAAAGTGTAATAGACTTAAAATAAGACCCAAAACTCGAGAGCTTTCGAATAGTTGACTATTCTTCTTCAGTTGTGTATATTAACCCTGATGAAAACGTTGGTTAAAATAAAAATATATTTTTTGTATTTATTGTTTGTTTTTGAATTTCGCGCAAAGCTACACGAGGGCTATCTGCGCTAGCCGTCCCTAATTTAGCAGTGTAAGACTAGAGGGAAGGCAGCTAGTCATCATCACCCACCGCCAACTCTTGGGCTACTCTTTTACCAACGAATAGTGGGATTGGCCGTCACATTATAATGCGCCTACGGCTGAAAGGGCGAGCATGTTTGGTGGGACGGGGATTCGAACCCGCGACCCTCAGATTGCGAGGCGAGCGCCCTAACCACCTGGCCCTGCGGGGCCTATGGCAAAGGAACTACGGACTATATACATCTCGCTGTCTCTAAATTATTACGGTAAATATTCGAATGTCGACTCTATAAACGTGCGCCAGGAGCAGTCCACCGATCCAAAACTCTACCTTGTCAACACTGCCTTGAAGTACCCATCACAACAGCCTCGATGATTGTCTTGTAAAACAAGTTCAAGTAAACGAATGATAACAATTGTAGTGTTTAAAAATGTAATAGGCCTAATAGTAATGTCTTATGACAAGTAAGATTGTAACATACCACACGCTACAATGATATCACGAACATATAATCAACTATAATTGTGAATTTGAATGCTTTGACATTACTGGAAAAATTTAACACGCTCATACATGTTAAAATGTGTACATGAAATATCTGAAACTTTTTAGACTTTAATTCAACACAAACACAACTTGAAGATGTGACAAAAACCAAACGTAGTCTATAGAAGTTTCCTGTTTCATATACTACTATATATTCGTGTTATCCATGAATAATTCTTAGCATATTATGACACAGACGGGTCTATATCTAGCTACGTACAAAGGAAAAAGTGGCTAAAACTCGTTTTTTTGTCTTTCATGTATACTTCCACCCAAACGTAGAAAATGCCGTGTATGTATATCAGCAACTAAGCGTGAATAGATGGGCAAGTTTTCAAGTAGGTTACTTCAAGTTAGAATAAATATCATCGCTACTTCAATACTACACAAGTCGTTTTAGTAAGATCATAATTTATAACACGATACCGGTCGTTGACTCCCCCTTCTTTTTTTTTTCAATAAAATCGGTCTTTTTCAAGTGGAGAAGAAAAGAACACA